GGAATGTGCTTGTATGTTGTCTTGAGATTTATGGAAGAAAAATGAAATATAAAATGGGGCGGGCTTTAGCACAGGTGGTTAATCAGCAGCAGCAATAAGATCACACTATTCAAAAGGTTGTCAGTTCAAAGCCTGGGTCGGAGTGAGCACCCAACCTTCAGCCCAGCTCACTGTCCACCTAAGCAGTTCAAAACCAGCTGTGAGCTGTGAGTAGAGAAATTAGGCACCACTTAAGCGGGGAGGTATTTTACAGCACCATAAAAAGGAAATACCAGTAAATGTGGCGATCAAAGAATGGAGAAAGTCTGTGATCAAGGACTCTTCGTTATAGAGGATGGAATGACAGCATCCTCCTGTAGTTGGAATTGAGCACAACCTCCAGGACACTGAAGCTGGGACAGCACTGAAGCTGAATATATGTTTTGTGATCTGCCCCGAGTTTCCTTCGGGATGAGAAGGGCAGAATATAAATGCTCTAAATCCATCTATCTAAAAATGCTCTGTTCGTTTTGAGTGACACTATAACTCAAAATCTACTGGATGAATTGCCGCCAACTTTGGCCACAAGACACTTACTAACCCAAGGAGTAACCATCACTCAAAAAAATTGATGTCGTCATTTGGGAGTTGTAGTTTATGGGTTTTATAGTTCACCTATAATCAAAGAGCATTCTGAACTCCACTAATGATGGAACCGAACCAAATTTGGCACACAGGACCCTCATGACCAACAGCAAATACTGGAAGGTATTGAGACGATACTCAAGTTGGGGAGCAATCATAGTCAGAGCCCCTGATGTGTACAGAAATGGCTAAAGAGACTTATTTACACGTGAGGTGGTAACTGTCTGATTTACCCATATCCATTCGTTTTAGTGATGTTTAGAGTAGGCATTCCTGTGGGTGGTCTTGAGTCTCAACGCTCCTTTTTTTCACCAGTATTTCTCCTTCATAAAACTTTTATTTTTAATTAATTCAATAATCAGGAATTTCACAGTGAATGTGGCTCTTAATGAGACGTGCTACATTATGAAAGGATGTTTATGCCCTCTACCACCGGAGAAATTATACCGTTTAGCTGGTATCCTGACTTCCGTCAGGAAGTAGCAGCCTGTAATGAAAACACCAAGGCATTGACATCACCAGCCCATCCCCTGTTTGGATATCAGCCAGCAAGCCAATGCCTTTAATCAAGAAATAGTTTCCTAAGATCTACAGAGATACTTGCAAGAACACCTCATCAACTGTATTATCTGTATTATCCAACGCAGTTTGCCTCCCACCTGCATCCACAGCTGTCTCAATACAATGTGATGTTTTGGTCCTAAATTTGTAAATATAGTAATTGCTACATAACGTTACCTTGTATTGAATTGCTTTTTTCTGTCGATTTGTTGTAAAACATGATGTTTTGGTGGTTAATTTGTAAAATCATAATTTGATGTTTAATAGGCTTTTCCTTAATCCCTCCTTATTATCCAACAAGATCACATTGTATACCAACCACATTTAGTGTATTCTTTCTTTTTCTTGTGCCAGGTTTTGTATCATCTGACCTGAAGAACTGCTCCCAAAAACTTCCATTTGTGATGTTTGGTTGATTCCATGTTATATACTCCACTTGTAGTGCCTTGTAAGCTGTATGTAAGCTACATGCACAATGGAGGACCTTCTTATAGTAACACCAGAGGCACTCCAAGTGGCCAGCTACTAGTCAAAGAACATCTAATCAACTACCAAGCTTGCAAACTTAGTGTTTTGTTTGTTTGTTTGCTTGTTAAAAATGCATGACAACTGTTTGGTTTGCTCCTGACACAATTAATAAATAAAATAAAGCTGCCCCAGGTCCCTTCTGGGAGATGGTGGTGGGATATAAATAAAGATTGTTATTGTTATTGTTATTATTCCAAGAAAGGTGTTACAGTAACTGAAATGCAAGTTGACCATCACTTAATTGTTGTTGTTGTTCATTCGTTCAGTCGTCTCCGACTCTTCGTGACCTCATGGACCAGCCCACGCCAGAGCTCCTGTCGGCCGTTACCACCCCCAGCTCCCTCAAGGTCAGTCCAGTCACTTCAAGGATGCCATCCATCCATCTTGCCCTTGGTCGGCCCCTCTTCCTTTTGCCTTCCACTTTCCCCAGCATAATTGTCTTCTCTAGGCTTTCCTGTCTCCTCATGATGTGGCCAAAGTACTTCAACTTTGTCTCTAGTATCTTTCTCTCCAGTGAGCAGTCGGGCTTTATTTCCTGGAGGATGGACTGGTTGGATCTTCTCGCAGTCCAAGGCACTCTCAGAACTTTCCTCCAACACCACAGCTCAAAAGCATCTATCTTCCTTCGCTCAGCCTTACCTAAGGTCCAGCTCTCACATCCGTAGGTTACTACAGGGAATACCATGGCTTTGACTAGGCGGATCTTTGTTGCCAGTGTGATGTCTCTACTCTTTACTATTTTATCGAGACTGGACATTGCTCTCCTCCCAAGAAGTAAGTGTCTTCTGATTTCCTGGCCACAGTCTGCATCTGCAGTAATCTTTGCACCTAGAAATACAAAGTCTGTCACGGCCTCCACGTTTTCTCCCTCTATTTTCCAGTTGTCAATCATTCTTGTTGCCATAATCTTGGTTTTTTTGATGTTTAGCTGCAACCCGGCTTTTGCGCTTTCTTCTTTCACCTTGGTTAGAAGGCTCCTCAGCTCCTCCTCGCTTTCGGCCATCAGAGTGGTGTCATCTGCATATCTGAGGTTGTTAATGTTTCTTCCAGCAATTTTCACCCCAGCTTTGCATTCATCCAGCCCCGCACATCGCATGATGTGTTCGGCATACAAGTTAAAAAGGTTGGGTGAGAGGATGCAGCCTTGCCGTACGCCTTTCCCAATCTTGAACCAGTCTGTTGTTCCGTGGTCAGTTCTGACTGTTGCTACTTGGTCCTTGTACAGATTCCTCAGGAGAGAGACAAGGGGGCTTGGGATGCCCATCCCACCAAGAACTTGCCACAATTTATTATGATCCACACAGTCAAAGGCTTTAGAATAGTCAATGAAGCAGAAGTAGATGTTTTTCTGAAACTCCCTGCCTTTCTCCATTATCCAGCGGATATTGGCAATTTGGTCTCTCGTTCCTCTGCCTTTTCTAAACCCAGCTTGAACATCTGGCAACTCTCGCTCCATGTATTGCTGGAGTCTTCCTTGCAGGATTTTGAGCATTACCTTACTGGATGAGAAATAAGGGCCACTGTACGGAAGTTTGAGCAGTCTTTCGCATTTCCCTTTTTTGGTATGGGGATATAAGTTGATTTTTTCCAGTCTGATGGCCATTCTTGTGTTTTCCATATTTGTTGGCAAATGGCATGCATCACCTTGACAGCATCATCTTTTAAGATTTTAAACAGTTCAGCTGGGATCCCGTCATCTCCTGCTGCCTTGTTGTTAGCAATGCTTCTTAAGGCCCATTCAACCTCACTCTTCAGGATGTCTGGTTCTAATTCATTCACCACACCGTCAAAACTATCCTTAATATTATTATCCTTCCTATACAGATCTTCTGTATAGTCTCGCCACCTTCTCTTGATCTCCAGCTTCTGTTAGGTCCCTGCCATCTTTGTTTCTTATCCTACCAATTTTTGCCTGAAATTTACCTCCAATGTTTCTAATTTTCTGGAAGAGGTCTCTTGTCCTTCCTATTCTGTTGTCTTCTTCCACTTCCATGCATTGCTTATTAAAAATAGTTCCTTATCTCTTCTGGCTAACCTCTGGAATTGCGCATTTAACTGGGCATATCTCCCCTTATCCCTGTTTCCTTTTGCTTTCCTCCTTTCTTGGGCTACTTCCAGTGTCTCAGCAGACAACCATTTTGCGTTCTTGGTTTTCTTTTTCTTTGGGACGTACTTTGTTGCCGCCTCCTGAACAATGTCTCGGACTTCTGTCCATAGTTCTTCTGGGACTCTGTTTACTAAATCTAGTCCTTCAAATCTGTTCTTCACTTCCACTGTATATTCGCTAGGAATGTTAGTGAGATCATATCTAACTGGTCTGTGTATTTTCCCTGATCTCTTTAGTTTTATTCTAAATTGGGCAGTAAGAAGTTAATCACTTAATTAGAAATGCTGAAATGCTCAGAAACTGTCCACTTGGGTTGCTGACAAGAGTGATATTTTTGCTGTATTGTCGAAGGCTTTCATGGCTGGAATCACTGGGTTGTTGTAGGTTTTTTGGGTTATATGGCCATGTTCTAGAAGCATTCTCTCCTGACATTTTGCCTGCATCTATGGCAAACATCCAGAGGTTGTGTCCTTTTTGAACAAGCATTTCCAAATGCAGAGTAACTGACATAGGAAAATGGAACGACGATGAGACGGGACAACATTTTTAACAAGGAGATATTATGAATTTATACTTTATTGATATGTTTAATTTTTATTATATGTTATGGTTTTAATTGTATTTATGATATTGTAAGCATTGATTTTTACCCTGTTGACCGCCTTGAGTTGCCTATGGGCTGAGAAAGGCGGTATACAAATACAGTAAACAAACAAACAAACAAATAAATAGTTGCAGGCGAAATGTCAGGAGAGAATGCTTCTAGAACATGGCCATATAGCCCGAAAAACCTACAACAACCCAGATGTTTTTGCTGTCGGATGGTCCAGTATACACAAAAGGTGTTGCATGCAACCATAAAAATATTTGTGTATAAAATTACTTTCAGGCTGTGTGTATCTGAAACATACACAGATTTCCTATCTAGACTTGGGTCCCATCTCCAAGATGTCTCATCATGTAAAGGTATTGCACTGCAAATTCCAAAACAAACCAAAATCCAAAACACTTCTGCTCCCAAGCAATACCCAAAGACGAAGCAAACAGAGGGTGCATCTACACTGCAGAATTAATGCAGTCTGATGCCACTTTAACTGCCCTGGGAGCTGTGGAATCATCATGCAAGGCTGGGAGAAAGCGAAAGGGCGCGGGGACTACAACTCCCAGACGCCTTTGTACCCGGATCTCTTGACTTGCCAAAGGGAAAGTCAAAGCAGAGGCCTGCCTCTCCCTGGCCCCGGGAATGGATGCCTGCCTTCCTGGCTGGCTGATGGCCGGGCAAGGAGCGGGGAGGGAGAAAGCCCTGGCCGCCCAGCTCCTCTCTTTCAACGGGCTCTTCGCTGTTCGCAAGCCCAAAGGGCCCACCTCCGCCGCGGTGCTGAACCAGCTCAAGGAGATGCTCCTGGCAGGTACTGCTCCAGCGGGCTGGGCTCGGGTTCACGTGCGTCCACACTGTAGAATGAACGCGGGTTGACAACACTTCGAACGCCACGACTCAGGGACCCTGGAAGCTATACTTTTGCAAAGCCTTCTCTGCCAAAGAGTGCTGCTGGCGCCTCACTAGACTGCACGTGCCAGGGTTCCATAGCAGTTAAAGCGGCCTCAAACTGCGTTAAGTCTGCAGTGTAGATGCACCCTGATCGTTTCAAGGGAGCAGGGTGAATCGTGTATTGAGAATCCCAGATACTGCATTTGTTAATTGTGATTTCTAAAAATTCTACAAGAGGGAAATCCACACTGTAATATTAACATCATCATCATCAACAACAACAATAATAGCCCCCCTGGTGGCACAGTGAGTTAAACCACAGAGCTGATGAACTTGCTGACCAAAAGGTTGGCGGCTCGAATTCGGGGAGCGAGGTGAGCTACTGCTGTTAGGCCCAGCTTCTGCCAATCTATCAGTTTGAAAGCATGCAAAGGTGAGTAGATCAATAGGCACTGCTTCTGTGGGAAGGTAACAATATGCCATGTAGTCATGCTGGCCACATTATTTTGGAGGTGTCTATGGACAACACCGGCTCTTTGGTTTAGAAATGGAGATGAGGACCACCCTCCAGAGTCTTCTGCCTCCTGCAGAATTCTGGGGTTTGTAGTTTAGAGAGGGGCCTTTTGTAGCGTATCTCCTCCCATTAACCATCTAGGAGCTTAAGGTCATCAATGCTCTCGATCCCGCCTGCCTCGCAAGTGCGATTGGCAGAGACGAAGGACAGGGCCTTCTCAGTGGTGGCTCCCCAGCTATGGAACCCCCTTCCTAGGGATATTAGTTCGGCCCCCTCCCTCCTGACTTTCCAAAAAAAGAGTAAAGATTTGGTTCTTTGAGCAAGCTTTTGAGATTGCAGCGGAATAGATAACACGGAACTATGAATGATGAACATGGAATGGCCAGATGATGTTACTGGATAACATTTTTAACAGGGTGACACCGATGATTATATGCTTTAACGGTTTTTATATATGTTTTATATTGTAATGGTGATTGTTTTTAATGGCACTTTTATGAATGCCTGACAACGAACTGTGCCAATCTGTAACCCGCCTTGAGTCGCCGTATGGCTGAGAAAGGTGGACTATAAATATCGTAAATAAATAAACAAGCAAACAAATAAATATTTTTTTTCTTCTAGTGTGATGAGGCCATATCTGAGCTGATGTCATCTGTCCAATGCAGTTTTCTGAATCAGTGCCCCAAATAACCTAAGGAACAGACCTAAAAACCAAGACACCAATAATTTTTTTGTTGCACTTTGAATCATTACCAAACATTTGTATTTTTTAGTCTGCTTTACATAGGCCGTGTTTTAGCCCTGTGTATCTGGATGACACTGGGATAGAGAAAACTATTCAATTCATTGCCTCCCATGGCTTTAGCACAATAGCCATTCACTTATGATCCAGTTATTATGTATGTCTGTGGAAATTGGACTTTCTCATTGTTAATTATGGAGCAGCTTCCAATCTCGTACCTTTCCATAGGCAGCAAGGGACTGAGTTATGCGTATAGTCATCTGGAACTCAGCAGTTATATGTAATTACATCTAGAAAATTTATTGAGATGGTTGTTGTGTGCTGTTGACAATACAGGAGGATTTCTGTCACTGTTGCTAGTGATGATGTTATTTCTCTAACAAATAAGTAAATGTAATGTCCCTTGTACACTACTGTGGGATATAGTGCACCCAGAGTGCTAAATATTAACATAATTAACTCTCAGATTCCAGCCAACGCTACAGATGGAAAATAAGTCTTATGTGAACTATTTGTTGTACTATATTGCGTTCTGAGGCTCTCAATTCAGTTCGCCACCCTCCTTGGGATTAAACTACTGCCACTGAATTAGTTATGTCACTTCGGTATATTCCAATTTGAATGCAGATTTATATACTATGATGTGTGTTTCTATAAATTATTATGAAATGTCTCATTATTTGAAATTTTATTTTTTTTCAGAAGCTGGTTTGCCAAAACCTAGTAGGAGGAAGAGGAGTCATATGTTAAAGATTGGACATGGTGGGATTCTGGATAGCACCGCTTCAGGAGTGCTAGGTGACTTACATATTAAAATAAGTAGTTTGTTTAAGTAGTGATTCAATGTAAATGTGGGTTGCTGTGAGTTTTCCAGGCTGTATGACCATCTTCCAGAAGCATTATCTCCTGACGTTTCACCTACATCTATGTCAGGCACCCACAGAGGTTTTGAGGTCTGTGGAATTTCCAGGGTGGGAAAAAGAACTCTCGTCTGTTTGAGGCGAATGAATGTTTCAATTGAGCACCTTGATTAGCATTGAATAGCCTTGCAGCTTCAAGGGTTGGCACTTGCAACATTCACACTTGCCTCCAACAGACAAGAGTTCTTTCTCCCACCCTGGACATTCCACAGATATATAAACCTTACTTGCCTTGTTTCCAACAAACCTTACAACCTCTGAGGATGCCTGCCATAGATGTAGGTGAAATGTCAGGAGAGAATGCTTCTGGAACATGGCCATACAGCCCGGAAAACTCACAGCAACCTAGTGATTCCAGCCATGAAAGCCTTCGACAACACAGTGTATATATTCTATTTCTAAATGCAAAACACTTAAAGCTCTCACTAAGTTCCCGAGCAATTGAGATTTGCAGAACGCAGGCTTTGTAAAGTTCTCAAGTGTATACTGTTGTGGTGATTGTGTGCCATCAAGGTGTTTCCAGCTTATGGAGACCCTAAGATGATCCTTTCATGGGGTTTTTCTGGGGCTGAGATCATGTGACTCACCTAAAGTCACCCATTAGGTTTTCATGACAGAGTGGGGAATCAAACCCTGGTCTCCAGAGTCATTGTCCAATATTCAAAACACTGCAACACTGGCTTTCTCTCTCAAGTTTTTAGGTCTCTGACTTAGATGCAGTAGTCATACAGAGCAAGAATTTGTCCAGAGGAGGACAACAGGGATGCTGAGGGAACTGGAAGTACAGTCCCGTAAGGAATGGTTGAGGATGTTGGGTGTATCTTCATCTGTCGCAGAAATCAGAGAACCATTTATTGGAAGCATTATAACACAGAAGAAACAAACTTATTTTCTGCTTATTCATAGGATAGGACATAAAGCATTGGGAAGTAATTCATAGTGAGAGCTGTTCCGGTATTGCAGCAGACTGCCTTGAATGGAGGGGGATTCATCTTCGTTTTCTTTCCCTTTTAAAACATTTCTGTAAAAGTAGGAATTGGGTAGCCACATGTCAACTTTGAATTTTGAATTAGGTAATTCCTGAGATTCCTTCCAGTTCTGCACTTTTGTTATTTGGGGCCTGTTTACACAGCCACGGAATCAAGAGCCAGGCTGGAATGGCAATACTCTGGCCTTGCCCTAGGAGTGGCTACATTGCCTACCTTGAAGAATGCTGCAGCAACAGCAGCAAGATAGAGTCCTGACTGTCCCATAGGATCAAACCCAGTTTGGCCCCATTGGGTGGCCACCCTTTTCTTTTCTGTCATTTGTTGCCAAGGCAGTGAGCATGGAGTTACAAAGCAACAAATATGTGCCACCCCCTTTTCCTGTTGGAATGAGAACCAACCTAAATGTTTCTTTTAGCCTGATTCGGGATATGTGGTCTTTGTAGACATGCCCTCTGATAGATATAGATAGCTAGATTATATATATATATGTTGTTGTTCATTCGTTCAGTCGTCTCCGACTCTTCGTGACCTCATGGACCAGCCCACGCCAGAGCTCCCTGTCGGCCGTCACCACCCCCAGCTCCTTCAAGGTCAGTCCAGTCACTTCAAGGATGCCATCCATATATATATATACACTATAATCAAGAAATCTAGCCATTGTTTTATTTGCTGGGCAAAATTTGTGGCTTTATAGACATATTTAGGGCCGTTGAGAGTGTGTGGCTTGTTGTGTACTCCTCTTCTGAGGAGGAGGTAGAACAGGAGGCTGAAGATGTAGTAGTCGGGGATTTGGGGCCAAGTGTTGAGGAGGAATAAGTGAGTGGGGAAAACATACTGCCGGTTCCTACCTTTCAGGAATGCTGAAGGAAGAAAGGAGAAAGTCAGCTAGAATTACTGCAAGGATGCTGAGCAATCAGACCTTGCCCTAGGAACACCTATCTCTGGGAGCTGAGGGCTATAAATCAGCAGTAAAGCAAATGGTCAATGCTGGCAGCAATTTATCTACTCAGTGCTTCTGTGCTCCACTTTCCTTGCTTGCAGCTCTAGCAAGTGCCTCACAAAGACTTTTTGCCAAAGACTCTGGTTTCATATCTGATATAAGACTTTTGCTTTGCTTATGGGATTTTTTCTGTTCTGTTTTGGGATGTTGCTGAAGAAAAGTTTTTTAGTTGCTTTAAGCCTTGTTGTAAGGCTGTTTCTGGGGCAAAACAGGACGTGGTTGCCATAACAGTCAAAGAAGATTCTGTAGGTGAACTATAAGTTAATATCAAAAATTAAGATCTATAGTCTTAGCGCCATAGGGGGCTAGAAAACAAAAAACAATCATACTATTGTTTCTTTGGATAATACCTCAAATCACATAGTTTCCTGGAGCCGTGGTGGCGCAGTGGGTTAATCACTTGTGCCAGTTGACCTGCAGATCTGAAGACCTGGAGGTTGGCGATTTGAATCCACGAGAGGGGGTGAGCTCCTGTCTGTAAGCCCCAGCTTTCCATGTGGGGACATGAGAGAAGCCTCCCACAGGATGATAACACATCTGGGCGTCCCCTGGGCAACGTCCTTGCAGACGGCCAATTCTTTCACACCAGAAGCAACTTGCAGTATAGCTTCAACTCTCCAGTTGCTTCTGACATGATAAAAAGAATGCATGTAAATCAGGGACTAGCAAAGTTATAACCATCCAGACAAAAATAAATAGGAAGTAATTTGTGGTCACTTCTTGTCATTTAAAAAAGAGGCAAACATGGCTAAGGTGAGCTTTAAAAAGTGGTGAACTCCAAGGACCATAGAGGAGACTTTTGAAGATTTTAAACATTTTTTTTCAGAAGGGTTTTTTGGTGTTTGTTGTGATTCGTCAAAGTCATCTGAGACTAATCCATCACTATAACCTCCCACAGTTTCCCATTCCATTTTTAAAAGAAACACGCTGATGTTGTTTACCATATTATGGAGATTTTTAACAGTTTGATGTATAATTCCCTGGGTATATAATAATCCTGATACAGTTGGGTCTTTCACTGCTTTGCTACACCTATGAACTGGATATCTCTGCCAAAGGTGTACGAGATGGAAGAAGCAATTGCAATTGTTATCCCGAGATGTAGGGGAAAAATATCCTCTCTTGTGAATAGATGAAAGAGAGAGAGGGAGAGAGATGACTTTCAGCTTTGCACATTTTGTAATAGATTGAATTGAAGACTGACAACTAGCTGTCAGGTCATGTTAACATGTGAAGCTCTTGTTTGATTGAATAGCTGAATTATTTTGAACTGTGTTTCGAATTTGATTGAATCTTACAAACTTGAGTACTGGGGATGTATTCATGTGTCTCAATAAATCTCAGTATTTTGTAACAGAGTGCTCTCTAATTTCCTGAGATGTAAAGTAATTTCCTGTAATATTGAGTTGTATAGCAACTTGGCACTTTTATGTGTTTTTCTTTTCTTAATGAAAAGAATCTGTTTTTCTTCAGGATCTTTGTGCAGTTTGACATAGAAACAAGCTGAAAGCTATTCCCTCCTAAGTACTTCCAAACAAGGAGTAAACCCACTCTGAAAAACTCTAGCTGTTTCCAGAATGTTTCTTTATATATGTTAAGTAATAGTGGGCAGGAGATCATTCATGGAATATTGTTTTAGTTGCTAAATAAATTTGTCTTGATCTCGGCTGGTCACCAGTTTTGGCTAAAAAGGCTAAAGACCTTGTGAAATTACAACTCCCATAATTCCACAGCATTGAGCCATGTAAGTTAAAGTGGTGTCAAATTGTAGGGAAAACTATAAAATGCTTCTAGATTGGGATAAGGGCAAATCTTGTGAGTTATAGTAAGAAGTAAAAATTAATCCATCCTGTTTCTCATTATTGAGATAAAGGCAGAATGTAAATAAATTAAAATAATTATTATTTTGTCATTCAAGGCTCTAAATGGCTTGGTATCTTAACACTTGAAGGGTAACCTTTGCCTTTATATACCTGCCTAAGGTCTTCTGGAGAAGCCCTAATTTACTTCCCATCAATGAGAGCTATACATCTCTTATCTGCAGAACTTTATTTAACTAGTAAAGAGAATATTCAGGCTTGATCTACACTGTTCCTATATATCAGGATCTAATATCAGATTATCTGCTTATCCCATATTATTTGGCAGTGTAGACTCATATAATCCAGTTCAAAACAGATAATATGGGATAAGATCCAAGGATATAGGGCAGTGTAGATCGAGCCTCAGTTACACAATGACCAACTCAAAACCAACATACGTCATATTTGCTTGACCAGGTTCTATCTTAAAGTCCAGGGCTAGTTTTCAAGTTATAAGAGAAATATTAGTCATGGGATCTCCAGGGTTGGTGTCTGAGTCTGGATATGTTACTTCTTGGGACCACAGTGGCACCCCCAACAGAAGAAAAGGAATATTACTCAGTCCTAAAACTGTATAATTTAAGCTATTCTACAAATGACTTGGTTTTGATCACGACAATGTACAATTGGTCCTCTGTATCCATGGATTTTGCATCCATGTTTTCAATCATTCATGGCTTGGAAATATATATATATATATATATATATATATATATATATATATATATATATAAAATTAAACTCAGAAAGCAAACCTTGATTTTGCCATTTTATATAAGGGACACAATTTTTACTAAACCATCATATATCATGAGATTTATACATTCATACATTTGCCTGCTTAAATACCCTAAAAGCACCAGGTTCTCACCTTGGAAACTAAGCAGGGCCAGCCCTAGTGAGCACTTGAATGAGAGACTGCCATCAAATCCCAGGTGCTGTGGACTATATTTTAAAGGAACTGATAAAGCCACCTTTGAGAATCTCTTTACTGAAAAAAATATGGGATTACAATAAGGTAACAAGGAGCTGCGGTGGTGCAATGGGTTAAACCCTTGTACCGGCTGGACTGCTGACCTGAAGGTCAGCGGTTTGAATCTGCAAGATGGGGTGAGCTCCCATCTGTCATCTCCAGCTTCCCGTGTGGGGACATGAGAGAAGCCTCCCACAGGATGGTAAAACATGTGAGCGTCCCCTGGGCAATGTCCTTGCAAACAGCCAATTCTCTCACACTAGAAGAGACTTGCAGTTTCTCAAGCCGCTTCTGATACATATACACACACACAAAGTTAGCAGGCAGGTTGAATGCGCATACACAGTCAAAGAGATTTTTTAAAATTAAATAATGTATCAGAATATCAATAATACAACATGTTGAGCATCGTCTAGAACTAGATGCCTGCACGTATTGTTCAGAACATTGGTGCCAACAAAATTGGTCAAAGACTGCCAAACCTTCAAAAGACCATTATGTATAATTATGCACATGTCATCAATTTGTTGCCCTATTGCATTGGAGTAAATTATCTTCTTTAAAAAAATATTTTAAGGATTAGGAATTAGAGGAAGATGCAGAGATATGTCAAAATCTTTCTGACTGAGGATATATTACAAATAATTGTAGTAGTCAACAAGAAGCTAAGAGTGTCAATTTTTGAAGTAATGTTTCTTTTTCTTAACAGTGGTTGGAATTGGAAAAGGAACTAAAATGCTAAGTGGCATGTTGGCTGGTTCTAAGGTAAGGAAGGTTGTTGCCAACCACTCTTCTGTGTTCCTGCATTTTTTGATGCTTTGCGATTTCTTTCATGTTGTTTGGCAGGGAAGGCTGATAGTGATGTCACTAAGTACAGAGGCAAATGAAAACACTAAAACTTAATGAAGCAAACGAGAACTTCATAGTAATGTATGGCATCAAGTATGCAGGTTAAGGACATGGTGGCATCTCTTCAGTTGGCGTTGGTGTGTGCTTCATGTCAGTTTTGAATTATGGCATTACTAAGGTGATTCTGTCATGGGGTTTTCTGGGACTGAGAGTGTGTGAATTGGCCAAGGTCACCCAATGATTTTAGAAGGCCAAACAAAGAAACTCGTGATCAGAGCATCACATTATGCTTCTCTAAAGGGCTTGTAAGCATCAAACATGGTTTGGCAGCACTGGATGGCACCTTAGCCATCCCCTCCCACCCTCCATGTTGTTGTGGTCTCCGGCTGCAACAAGGATCCTACTTATCTGCCCTCGCCTGCAGTCACATCATACAGAGTACTCAATGTCACTGCTGGCAATGGCGGACAGGTAGGATCTGTGTCGCAGCCAAAGATTACAGCGATATGGAAGGATGGCAACTACCATCTCGTGTCTCTGGGCTGCCTGAGCCTGACAGTGAGGATTGATATTTTATTCAGAAATCACTACTGGTTTATATGGGGCAAGGGCTGTTAACCCAAATCATCTCCATATGGCATGTAGATATATTTACTTACTTACTTACTTACTTACTTAGGTGATCCCTCGTTGGACGAGTAAGATGGTCTTCCATTATGGGTTTCCTTGTGGGTCCGCATGTGGCTGTGGAGCCCTATTCTCGCTCTGCATCTTCTTCCGCAGTGTGGGCATTGGTTTCCAGGTGGAAGGCGGTCCCGGTCGGGGTTGGCTTGACGCGCCTTCCTCCTGGCACGTTTCTCTCTTTCACCCTCCACTCGTGCCTCCTCGAATTCTGCAGCACTGCTGGTCACAGCTGACTTCCAGCTGGAGTGCTCAAGGGCCAGGGCTTCCCAGTTCTCAGTGTCCAGGCCAGAGTTTTTAAGGTTGGCTTTGAGGCCATCTTTAAATCTCTTTTCTTGTCCATCAACATTCCGTTTTCCGTTCTTAAGTTCAGAGTAGAGCAACTGCTTTGGCATGTAGATGTACCCTTGGTGTAAATAAGGTCCCAGTTGGGATTTGGAGTGTTGTGCTTGTCTTCCATCTTGAGTTTCCATTACAGCAGTGGTTCACAACCTGTGGTCCGTGGACCACCAGTGGTCTGCAAGAATGAAAATATCTGTAGCCTCACCATTACTACACCATTGCCTCGAAACCACATGGCAATGAGAGCAACTGGTCTCACAAAACCCTCTTATAGTCCCGAGGCAATGAGAATGTCAGGAGGGGAGAGGCTGACTACTCACGAAAGATTACTACTACCATATTGGCTCTACATTATTAAATATGGTTTTCTGTGGGCAAGCAGATGGTGACTACTTGATGGCCTTTGTTCTGTATCAGAAACTAGAACTGATGTGGTCTATCCAATGCAATTCTCTGAATCAGCACCCCAAATTACCAAACCAAATCTAAAGTTGACCAAAAACCGATTCATAAGGCTTTTGGTACTAATGTTGGAGAGTGGTCCCTGGTCAAAGTGGTCCTTGGTCAAGTGGTCCTTGGCCAAATGGTCCCTGATCAAAAAAAAGTTGGGAACCACTGCTTTACAGTTAGAAAGAAGATGTACATACTTCCTTCAGAGATTCTCTCTTGCTTTTGTCAGTCCGTCCATTTTTTCTTTTGAAGCTTCATCATTTGCATCTTATTTAGTCTTTCTCAATAATGTCTGTGTGGCTGGTATTCGATTATTCTTTTCGGTTCTCTTCTTTGTTTGCTAGTCTTTCATCTCTGCTTGCTCCTTCCTCATACTTGTCTGCTCATCCTTTGATGTCAAATCTTCTGGAAACAGAACTACTTTTCCTTCAGATATCTCCCCATATTAAGCCATCTTTTCTCTCATTATTTGAGTGTTTTCCATATATTTCATCATTAGATAAAATCCTGTCACTTTCAACTGACAGCTATAGGTGACATTACCTCCCCCTTCCAGGGAATGCAGCCACTTAGTGCTCTTTTTGATGCCAACGCAATTATTGCAGTTTCCTTGGCCGATCTTGTTTCCACCTTAAGTCACTCAATTGTGTTTAAGTGCTGCTACCCATTTCATATGATGTGCCCACGCATATGTTTATGCATTTCTGATTTTGATTTCTTTTAATCTGGCGTTATTTCCCTTGTCCATTTAGTTTGTTTATCTTGCATTCTTATGATTTTTCTTTTGTTGTTCCTTTCCCACTAAACGCATTAGCTAACCAGAAAGTACTTAATTGATTATCTGTCTTTCTCTTTAAAAAATGTGTTAACTCATTGAGGTGAGTCCACAGTAGGTCATGATGTAATGCATTGATTATAACCAAGTTTTACTTTTGTATCAATATTTTGTCTTTGTGTAATTAGATTGCAAACCTTTTGAGCAAGGCCTGTGTTCTTGTGTTTCTTTTTATGTAATCCCTAGTCTTTTCACTGGGTTATAAATGATGTACCGGTATGTACAATTGCCCCTTCCCTCTTGCTTCATTTTTCAAAAATCTTTAGGATATATTTTAATAGTTGCACTAGGGCAGTGTTTCTCAATCTTCCTAATGCTACGACCCCTTAATACAGTTCCTCCTGTTGTGGTGACCCTCAATCATAAAATTATTGTAGTTGCTACTTCATAACTGTAATTTTGCTACTGTTATGAAGCGTCATGTAAATATCTGATATGCAGGATATATTTTCATTCACTGGACCGAATTTGGCACAAATATCTAATATGCCCAAATTTGAATACCGGTGGGGTTGCGGGGGGCTTGATTTTGTCATTTGGTAGTTGTAGTTGCTGGGATTTATAGTTCACCTACAACCAAATAGCATTCTGAACTCCCTCAACGACTGAACTAAACTTGACACACAGAACTCCCATGACCAACAGAAAATACTGGAAGGATTTGGTGGTCATTGACCTTGAGTTTTCAAGTTGTACTTCACCTACATCCAGAGAGCACTGTGGACTCAAACAATGATAGATCTGGATCAAACTTGGCACGACTACTCAATATGCCCACTGGTGGAGTTTGAGGGAAATAGACCTTGACATTTGGGAGTTGTAGTTGCTGGGATTTATAGTTCACTTACAATCAAAGAGCATCCTGAACCTCACCAACGATAGAATTGGGCCAAACTTCCCACACAGAGCCCCCATGCCTTGAAGGGACTCGCTGTTGCAAGCCTCCCTCCAGCCTAACACGCTCTCCCTCGCCCGCACATGTGCACCACGCTGCCATGCTCCAAGCACACCTGCTCTCCCCTTTCCACTTGGAGTCTCAGAAACAGTATTCCCCTTGGCTAAAAGGCAGGCTGAGAGGCTGGCCAATCACAGTGGAGAAGGGCTTTTGGTGGGTGAATTCACCGTCTGTTTCCAAAAAGGAAGAGAAAGACAGGAGGAGAGATCTTCAGCCTTCTATGCCAAAGTGGTTCCTAAGACTATCAGGAATATATGTTTTCTGATGGTCTTTAGCGACCCCTCTGAAACCCTCCATGTTGACCCCGCCCAGGGGTCCCAACGCCCAGGTTGAGAAACACTGGACTAGGATAATAGCCCTACTAGGAGAAATCTACCCATAAGCTCACATTACTTCATCACACAGTGACATTCTTCCACTAATTTCTATGTAAATATAGTCCCATTTCTTCATCACCAATTATGATATATTCTTTCCACAAATATCAATTCAGTGGAATACTCTATGAAATAGGGTATTGCCTGTATCTCTGTATGTAGCCTTGGTCTGTTGTACTAACAGAAGGATTTTTTCAATATCTAAAGTGCTGTTTCTAGGGCTGTTGGGAGCAGTTAGTATGCATGATATGTTTGGAAGAGAGTAACATGAAATAATCTGCATGGTTATATTGGACCCAGCTGGTTGACATGTTGCTCTTCTTGTTTGATGCACGGTATGAAATTTCTCATGCTAGATTCGAAATGGCAGATCCTTGCTTGTTGTAGAAATTATCCTTGGTTAATTGAGATCTCACTTTATATACTCTGGTACAGTTTAATGCTTGTTCACAAATATGTGTACTGACAGAAGAGAAAGTGAGTTCAGGCCTCACATTGTGTGAGAAACAATATGGAAAATTTGATGCCCTTGTTTGGAATTAGATGGAGCACCATATACATTCTGAACCTTTCACAGTGCATTTCTGTGCAGGTTTATTAAAATTCACGGATACTTTGAATTCATTAGAAGAGCAGGCTTAGTGGTTTACTTATGAGATTTGAGCATATCATGCATAGGTTTTAAGCTTGTATTCAACACTACTTGCATTTGCAATGCTTGCATTTGTCAAGGCATGAAATTAATTAGATTCAGATTTCCTTTCTTCATTTCCAGAACTTGGAAATAACTGGTTACAAATAACTCACATTTAATTAATTTTCCCTTATAAAGTGAGGTATAATTTGGTTACACTACATTTGTAACTTAAAACGCAGTAACTTCATCCTGTTTTACAGTGTAATTTTGATGTTAATTTAGAAAAACAGGAAACTAACATGTTGTTTTAAATTTCAAATTAACTTATTTTCTGGGTCTTTCTAAGTTTTCTGAGTTACAATCTCTACTTTTTTATCGTGTCAGAAGTGACTTGAGAAATTGCAAGTCGCTTGTGGTGTGAGAAAATTGGCTGTCTGCAAGGACATTGCCCAGGGGACACCCAGATATTTTACCATCCTGTGGGAGGCTTCTCTCATGTCCCCTCAAAGGAAGCTGGAGCTGAAAACAGGAGCTCACCCTGTCTTGTGAATTCTAACCGCTGGTCTTCAGGTCATTAGTTCAGCCGGCACAAGGGTTTAATCCATTGTGCCACCGCCACTCTACTAACATATTGCCAGG